GCAGGAGCTGGGGGAGGGCAGACACGGAGGGGAGTTCCCTGAGGCGCCCCCATATTCAAACAGCAGCAAGGGGGCCAGAGGGGGAGATGAGGGCAGAGGGCTGGAGAGGCCTGGGGGTCAGGGTCAGGCTTGGGATTGGACCCTGCGTGCGGTGGAGAGCCGGTGGGTCGAGCCGGTGGGTGGAGCGGAGGAGCCGCACGTGCCAACGTGGGCTGTGACGGGGTCACTCTCGCTGCTCAGAAGAGGGGATGGGGCAGGGCGGGGGCGGACACCATGAGCTTCCCGCAGGAATCGGGCCTTGGGTCCGAGACCTGGGGTGTGTCTGGAGGGAGAACCAGTGCACGTGTGGACAGATTGGACAGGGGCAGGAGGGGAAGGGAGGAACCGAGGACGACTCTAAGGTTTGTGGTCTGAGCGGCTGGACAGGGAGAGCGGGCAGCACACTGGGGCCTGGGGCAGGACTTTGATTTTGGCCCCCTTTGGGCGATAGCCAGGAGGAGACGCCCCAAAGCCGCTAGAGATGTGAGTTTGGAGGTTTGGGAAGACTGGGAGCCAGCCACGCAAGAGAGTCAGCAGCAGACAGGCGGGCTTTCAGCCTGGGGCCACTGTGTCCGCCACCTGCCCAGCAACGTCACTGAGAAGCACGGGCAGCATTTTAAATTGATTCCCACAGAGTTTAGCACAGTGATTGCACATATTAGGTGCTGAATAATTTTTGGTGAATGAATAAGTTAGTACAGATAGATTTTTCCACAAAATCCCAAAACATTTTAACTAGACACAAGTCATAGCAGGCCTTGCTTTATATTACAAGGAACCTCTTATGGCAGACCCCGGCACTCAATCTGGTACCGATGAAAACAAGGGGTGTTGGGGCCACATCAGCAACTTCCTGAGGCTGAGACGGGCGTGCGGGTCCCAGATGGGGCGGGAGCACTGGCCTCCTGAGGGCAAAATGCAGTATAGCGCTTGTTTTCCGGTAGACCAGTTGCCCCACATTATGAAACTTACATGAAATATCAAGAGTGAGCGTTTGCCTGTCCTGGAACGCTCCAGCGCCCTCTCTCCCTCCTGGTGCTGGGCACCGGTACCACCAGCCGAGAGAGTGGCAGAGAATGGAGAACACGGGCGTAAGGTTTGTTCCCCTCCCTCCCTTTGGAGCTCAGACCACCCACGCGGGGCTCCAAGTGTGTCCTCAGCTCTCAGAGGAAGTGCTCTGACGCCTGCGGCTCTTTCTAGGACCCCTACGCTGCCTTCTTCCAGACAGACGGGGACCGGGACGGCATCGTCAGCATGCTGGACCTGCACAGACTGCTGCAGCGCTTGCTGTTCAACCTGAAGGACGCGGAGTTCGAGCGTTTCCTGGGTCTCCTTGGCTTGAGACTCAGCGTCACTTTAAATTTCCGGGAGTTCCGAAATTTGCTTGAGAGGAGACCATTCAGAACAGATGACGCGCCTCAGAGGCTCATCAGGTAAGGAGGCGGCGCCCTTGGGCGTCTGGGACACCTGCTGGCCTTTGCCAGCTCCAAGTCCAGCCTTTCCAGGGCCCGGGGCGGGGTGGGGGGGGAGGCGGTGCAGGGACTGCAGCTGCCTCCAGGAGCAGCTAGTTTGTCCTCTCCTGAGTTCAAGAAAATCGCACAAGGACAATACGTTCAGTGTAGAAAGACTGGAAAATGTAGACACAACCTGTTCTAACCACCCGCGAGCATCGTTTCTGTATTTCACTCTCTATCTTTTTTCTGTGCACATAAATGCACACATACACTTATATGTTTTTCGTTTTATAAACCCGGGGTCAGCCGCACCAGCCGCTTCGGCAGATGCGAGGACCCATTCCAGCCCTTCCCCAGACCCCCATCCAGCCCAGGCCAGCCTTAGTCACAGCAAGGAGCTGCAACTCCGTCTCCTCAGCTTTCTCCCGGCAAGAGCACACGCTGCTCAAAGCAGCAACGAGGCCTCCCATCCCACCCAGTACCTGTTCCGGTCGGCTCCCCATTGAGATCTGCGGCATGCAGACATGCGGGCACGAAGTAGCCATTTGGCCCCTCCTTGACCAATTATCATCAGTATAATCTTAACGTTTTTGAAACATTACCATCCCCTAGGATAACACAGAGGTGTGTTTTCTTCTACGATGACAGAGCATGGTAGCGACATGCACTGAGCCGTGTCGCCCTTGAAGCACTCATGGCCCCCAGGGGCTCCAGACAAGCACCCCTCCCACCAGGCGAGGGCAGCTCCCAAAGCCCCTGTCACAGGGCCAGGCTGTGTGACACTTGGCTAGGCTGCAGGAATTTTTTGGTTTTATTTTATCTACACTATTTTTAAAAGCAGGCGAGAAAGACAAGGAAGGACTATGGTGTCTCCCTAAGAAAGACAATCACATACCACGTGACGTGATCTAGACGCCTGCTTCCAAATGCTCAGGCTCCGAGGAGCTTTCGTGTGAGACTTGATTGCATAGCATTAAAAAACAAACAAAAGTAACCTTCAGAAAGAATTTTCTGGAGCATGTATGCAGAATGAACATGGAAAATTTCGGCCACAAAGCACAGTCTTCCCATTCAGACGAGTCAGATTTCTCATTGGTATTTATCTGTTCATTCGTCCGGTGTTTACTAAGGGCTGACCACGTGCTAGATGTTGCCCCAGGACTAGGTGGCACCTAGACAAACAGGACAAATGCTCCCTTGGAGAGGCTCACGTTGAATGTGGGACAGCTCCAAAGATAAGTTGCTAGCTGAAATTCCAGGGTGTCCGACAGGCAGGGGGGTGGGGGGTGGAGCTAACTCTGCCAGAGGTGCACAGGCAAAGGGGGACATTTGAGCTGCGTCTTGAGGTATGAGTAGGGGTTTGTCGGGGGCAGGCCACCAGAACGGTGGTTCCAGGCCAGCGAACAGCATTTGCAGAAGCTCAGAGGTGGGAGTGCCGAGCACATCGGGGAATGGGGAGAGGATGCGGCATGCGTGGTGGGACGCGGTGGGGCGGGGGCCGCTGTCATGCGCCTGGAGTGGCCAGGCCGAGGATTCACCCTTTATTGCTAGGCCAGAGAGGACTTCATGTTGCCGAGTGATGTTGTGCTGGGGAAAACCCTTCGCAGCCCCAGCCTAGAGGGTGGTTGTGGAGAGGAGAGGCTGGAGCCCAGGGCGGCACCCTTTAGAGAGCCACGCCATCCCACAGCCTGCCCCCCCGACACCCCCCCAGCCCCCCCCGCGCACCTGGGCCTGTGCTTGGCACAGTCGTACCCTTAAGTACCTGCAGCCCTGCACCAGGGGGCATTACCGTCTGACTGTGCAGACCAAGGAGCTGAGGCCTGGAGAAGAGTCAGTGACTTGTCCGGAGGGACACAGCTCACAGGTGGCCGGGCAGAGACTGGACCCCGGGTGCCTGTTGGGCGGGGCTGCTCTCTCCCCCTAGAGACCTCGCCCTCTCTCGCCCTCCCCAGCCCCACTCTGCTCCACGGCCACGCCCGACACCGCCCCTTTCCAGGAGCCACCCACCCCTCGCTCCGCCCTCTGCCCTCTGCCCTCTGGGCCTTGACTCTCCACCTGCGTCATGGAAACGCGGTACTGTTGAAAATGACTTTAGGGTTCATTACTCCCGTGTTTGCTTCATAATGGCAAAACTTTTATTTTTAGATATAGAAATGCTAACAGAATAGGGTCCAATGACCCGGTTCCATTTCTACATTATCTACTCCCTTCCTGTCACCTTTTTTAGAACACACCTGCCTTGGTCATTAAGCTGCTAACAGCCTACGTCAAGCACATGTGCATCATTAAAGATGAAGGGACACTGCCCCGTGTCTACTTCACCAGGACCGGACGCATGTCTCAGGACCGCTGCCCTGCTGGGCATGCTGACCCCGAGATCACACAGCTGTCTCTCATCACACCTCGGAGCCACTCCCTGGCCTCCTTAGCCAAGTGTCCCCTCCCGTCCATCGCTCCCTTCACATTCAGTATCTGAAGTTATCTGATTCACTCCTGTTTCCACGCGTTCGCTCTAAGTTTCTTGCCTTGAGGACTTGTGCTCAGCCACATTGCTCGTCACAGTGTCTGCAGGACTTAGAGCAGCAGAGAATATGAGTGTGCGTGTGTGTGTGCGCACGCGCACGCATACACACGTGTGTGACTGACAGACTGGCTGACAGGAAGTCCACATCTGATTGGTTGTCAGGATCTAAAGAGCCAGGCAACAGGAGAGGAAGCGAGTAACTTCTGGACCAGGCCATAGAAAAACCTCCTGATCTCTCTAGACCAGACAAGTGTATAAAATAGGAAAAAGGGGCCATGATCACTAAGGAAATAAGCCTACGGCCCGGAAAAGAAAGTGGGCTGGCAGGGCTTTGGGGTGGGGGCCGAGACGGTGAGCTCCGCGCGGGCGTGTTGGCTTCGCGGAGCTGGCACGTGCCCCCCAGGTTCTTCCCGAAAGCGCTTTTGGGGGGTCCCGCCGAGTCCTCTGGGTGCAGGCGGGGCTGAGGAGGAGCGGAAAGGCAAAGGTGGGGGACGTTTACCGTTAGGGCCTACAGCCCTTTTAAGCGGTAGTTGTGACAGTGCTACGTCGCCCCGCCTGGCTTCGGGCACCTCGAGTGTAAAGTAGTGACAGAGGGCGAGACCGCTCGACCTTCGGATCCCTTTGCACCCTGAAAATTCCATGGTTCTGTGGCGCTCGGCAGGCAGTTAGGGAGACATGGAACGGATGAGCAGGTGAGGTTCAAGTGCCCGTGGCCCAGACGTGTGGGCAGTGGGGCCGTGAGAAGGGGCGGCCTTGGGAAGGGGCGGCCTCGGGAGAGCTGAGGGACTTCGGGTGGAAGGGGAGAGAGGGCCAAGGGTCGGGGAAGCCAGGGAACATTGCAGGGAATGAGGACACATGTCGGCCGGGCTCTGGGGCAGGTGTTCCAACCCCTGGTGTCAGAGCAGCGTCAGGAAGGCCGCTAGAAAGGAGAGAGGCGGTTAACGGTGTCACGTATAACAGCAAAGGAAGCAAAGCCCTGACATACGGTGACACAGAAGAAGAAACTGGTGGACGTGAAGCCTGGGGCTGGGTCTCAGTACAGGGAGCTGCCCCAGCCAGTCCACCCGTGAACCCCGCAAGCTGGCGTCTGTGAGGAGAGGAAGCAAAGCTAGACACCTTCTCATTGGTTAATTTCAGCAGTGACATGAGAACAGGAAGAAGACCCCACCTCATCTCCGCGGGTCCTCGGCGACCTGCTAACTGAGAAAACGCGAGGATTTTTGTTTGCCGACTATGGGGGTCCACGCTAACGTGATTCAGAAGAAATGCTGCTTTGAACAAGACCTTTTCTGTGTGACACACAGGTCAACAGCACAGAGTAGGTTTCTGGGGTGACACCAGTCTCCATGAACTCAGTGCTGTCGGTCCCCCAGGAATCTGAGGGGTGGCCCAGGAGAGCAGCAGAATTTCTTAGAATGTATTTAAAGGAGAAGCCACATGAATCGCAATTATTACTGCTTCATTGGTCGATCCTAGTTGCTGTGACCTGGCTCGCTGTCTGCTTTTAAAATGTGTGACAGTAGCAGAATGTTCCAGAAGAGCCTTCTGTGGGAGGCAGAAGCTGCAGGCTTCCCTTCTCCAGGACCTCACACAGTGCCTGGGGCCTCGGGCAACGCTGCATTTGCTGACTTGAAATAGAGATGCGAAGTGGGAAGAGGGTCCTGGCTCAGTGCAAACCGCAGGCGGCCGCCCCTCTGCGCAGTGCAATGTCTCGAGATCTGTCTGCATGGAGAGAGCGGGTGGAGGAGGATGCTCCTGCTGGTTCGGATAGAAAAGGAAACGGTGGTCAGAAAGGCCGGCCTCGGGCATCAGGGGCCTGGCTGGGAGGGCCGGCGCTCCGGTCCTCCTGTGCAGCTTGCTTCTCTCTAAACCACAGCTCCGTCCTCTTCCGCAGAGCGGGGTGCCGAGGTCAGCACTCTGGCGAAGACTCAAGACTCTGTGTGTCAAGTTCCTACTGGTCACGGAGTTCATGGTGGCTGTCACCACCCCGGAAACCCACACAGTGCTCCTGGCGCACATGTCACACGCGAAGGGCGTCTCTGAGGATAACACTAACCTTTGACCCCGTAGTTTGCAGCACACAGATCCCTGCATTTTCTCAACTGGCAGCATTGCTGGCTGACTTTTTTAAAAGGGCTACGCGAGGCTTGTTTGCTGTCTCCCGCCCTGGTTTCCTGGGTCCCGTGGGGGAGAAGGTCATGTGTCCTTTCTTATTCACCCTAAGGCATGAGGCACCAACCCCCCAGCGTGCCCACGGATAAGCGTGGGTTCCGAGCACCCGCTCACACACGGTCCCGTTTCGGGGCGCTGCCGGTGCAGTGTGTGCTGTGGGCTTTGCTGGAGCACCATCTGGAGCGCTGTAATGTCTGAGGTGCGGACTTGGATGTGGACACGCTCTGGTTCCTAGGTGTCCCCGGGCGGCTAGGCGACCACAGGAAAGAAGTTACAAAGGTTTTACAGGTGTCCACACTCCCCTGCTCTGTTTAGCGGTGGAGGAACCCAGGCTCCCCAGAGTCCTCCAGCCACAGCCTTCACTGGGGCGGCACCAAGGCAGTGGGCGCAGGCTCTTTTATTTAAGTGTCTTCAGTGTCCATCATCCTGTGAGTAAATAAATGGAATTTTGATCACTTGAACCCTTCAAACCCAACCTCCAAACATTCGCTGAGACAGAGAAATCCGTGAGCAATGTTCCCCTATCACCCCCGAACTGCTTCTTCTAGTCTACGTTACCACTCCAACTTGTAATTTCAGAAGTAAAAGTTTTTAGTTGTTTTCATCCGAAGACACTTCACGCTTTATTGTATTTCCCCCTCAGAGAATAAACAAGCCTCGTTTGTTTTGTGGGCCGCAGAAAAAGTTGAACAGCATTTATCTGAAAATAAACAGGATTTATAAAATTTACAAAGACTTCCCTAACATGCAGCTGGGAAGATAAGACTGTATTTTAAGAATTAAGTTAGACCAGATGTGAAATAACAGACTGTCACAGCATCTTTGAAACAACAGGGGTGAGAACCCCATGGGAGATTAACGAGTCTATTAAATTTAAATACGGTTTATTTATTTATCTATTTTTTTTTCCTTTTAAGACCAAAACAGAAGGTCACGGATTCAGAACTAGCTTGCGAGCAGGCTCATCAGTATCTTGTTACCAAAGCAAAAAACAGATGGTCAGACTTGTCTAAGGTAAGAAAACGCTTCTTTTGTTGAAAGGAAATCTATTTCAATATCCTGAGATCGTTGGGATGATCAAGCTGAGATGGGAAAACAACTTTGTAGACCCAATTTGGTGACTCCTTTTATTCTTAAAATACTTTTTCAAAATAAATTCTCACATTCGAGGTCGATCGATGTCTAGAAAAACAAGTAATTGTAGGAGTTATATGGACAGAAATTCCTGGCTTTATCTCAGGTTTGATATGAAGTCAAAACTTAAATGGAAGATATAGTCGTACTTATTTTTACACAGTTATAAACATGCATTTCAAAGAACTATTTCTTGCTGTCTTGCCAAGATGAGAGAAAGCCCCATGGGAAGGCACGTGTACGTGGGCCAGTGGTGTCGAGATGGGAAACGGCCTATGGACAGCCTGCAGGACAGGAGACCGAGTGCGAGGGGCTTGGCTCGTCCTGCATGCAGGGCGTGCCAGAGACGGCAGTTTTCACACTGGATTGTCTTTTGCTCCTTGGCAGCAGGACCTCTTGCTACGGCTTGGCTGCTAGTCTCTTGTTGAGTGATGGGTAGTGTGACTCAGCTGCTGTTCTGTCTGTACCCTTTCTACATGATGTCTTTTGAAACATGGATTTTTTTTTCTAACATAGTCAAACCCATTACCATGTCCTGGGGCCTTCCTGAGGACACGCCACCCCGAGGCCATGCAGGTGCCCTCCGTTCTCCTCAGGGCCTCTCGCTCCACCCTCCACCCTCAGGTCTGGGAACCTGGTGTTTCAGAGGCGTCATGAGCCGGGGACCCAGTTCCACCTGGAGATCCAGGTGTCCCAGTGCCATAAAGTCAAGTCCCCGCTCCCCGCTCCCCGTCTGCAGCCTCGCCGCCGTCCTGAGTCGGGGCCCGCGGACGTTTCTGGGCTGTTCGTTCTGTTCCACTGGTCCGTCTGTCTGTCCTGGCACCAATACCACGTCTTCGTCGTCTCCGTAGCTTAGGGACACGTCTTCATTAGCTGGTAGGCGAGCCCCGCCTCGTTCTCCAAGAGTTTTTGAAACACTGTCAAGTTCCACAGAGAAGAAAAAACTTAGTGGGACGTTTGGGGAGAAATGACATCTTTACTATTTGGAGTCTCCCAATTCACGAACATAGGGCATTTCTGCTTATTTTTTATCTTTTTTAGTATCTTTCAATGAAGACTTACTTTTCTGTACAGAGGTCTTGCAGTCATTTGTAAGATTTATTCCTAGGACTTTCCACTTTTGATGCTATCGCGAATGTTATTTTTTAAAAATTCATTTTCTGTGTCTGCTATATAAAAATGTGGATGATTTTGCCTATCGATATAGAATCCAGATTTCTTGCTAAACTCTCTTATTATAATAATTTATTTGTGAGTTCCTTGTATTCCTATATGTACAGTCAAGTCATCTATGACTAAGGACAACGGTATTTTTTCCAGTCCTATCACTCGTTGTACCTTTTATTCCTTTATCTTGAATAACTGCATTGTCCTCCAGCACAGCACAGGTGTCCTCATCTTGTCCCTGACCAGGGGGCGTGTTGTGATCTCCCACCATTAAGCGTGACGCTGGCCGAGGACTTGGTAGATGTGCCCATTGCGCCTGCCTCATGGTGTGGCAATGAGAGGTTTAAATGAGCCGTTGCTTGGGAACAATCTGAGACAGTGCTGAGAGCCGTGTGTTACCTGCTCTTCCGGTCTGCGGTCCTCTTCCACGCCGGACAAACCCCAGATACGCTTCGCTCCCCTCAGGGCCATCGAGTGGCACCAGGTCATCTCGTCATAACGGCCGGTGTCAGACGTCCCCGATTCCCCCTCGCACGGCTGTCTCCGCTTCAGTCTCACTTCCCAGGCTCCGCTGGGCCTGCATGTCCGATAGTTTTTGAATCCAAGGTGTCGGTCAGAAGAATCCAGGTCACACAGCTGAGACCCAGAAACAAGCCCGTCCAATACAGAACGCTCGTTTGCGTTGACTCTGTCGCCTTCTTTAGAGGAATGAAAAGGGCATCTGGAACTTAGATAAAAACAAAATTAAGCAGGCGGATGGGGCAGCAGGAACAGGAGGGATATCTTCGATTGTTCCAGATGGTCCCCCTTGAACATCCTAACACCACCAGAAACACGCTGTATATGTTACTAACTGCCATCTCCTCGCGTTGTAGAATTTCATAGAAACTGATAATGAGGGCAACGGCATTCTTCGACGCCGCGACATTAAGAACGCGCTGTACGGTTTTGATATTCCCCTCACACCACGAGAATTCGAAAAGCTGTGGATGAGGTACGTGGCATCTGAAGCTTGGCTCTTTTCCTTTCCGACGGTCTTGGGTTCCTTGCCGCAAGTTCAGCGCCACCCTCCCGTCACTCCTTGGGGTGAGGTGGGGCCAGGTGTGGTCCTCGTTTGGCCGTACGTGTCCTGAGTCGTGGTCGCTGTTCCTGCTCCACACAGAAACAGCCTTGGTGAACAGGCCGGTCCCAGGAACGTGGAGCCCCAGGGGCAGCACCGACCACTGACATCACACGGGAAAGGGTTCACTGCCACGGAACTGGGAGCTCGAGCCCGGACCTCCCGTTTTAGAGAACTAAGTCACCCCCGCCCCCCTCAAGGCTTACCTCTACTCTAACGCAGCAGTAAAAGCTGTCTCTCCCCATTGCCTAAAGATGGAAGTCAATACTGGATGACTATTTCATAGATACGTAACTTGTTGGAAGAAAATAACCAAACTTTTGATAACTTAGAGTAGTTTCCCAGAGGTCTCTTAAACTGCAAATAATATCTAATGTTGGTTACATTTTGCAAAATGCATTTTGGATGGGGCTGTCTTTGCATCCGGCTGCCGGTTGCAATATCCCTCAGTGGGCATCTGAAGTTGGGGGTGCAGCCTCTTTCCACGTCCCAGACCCCTCTGTGACTTCCCCCTCCTCCGGCACGTGTCCGCCGCGCTTGCATTCCTGGCCCGATGTTGTGCGTCCTCTAGGGACGAGCTCGTGAAGCAATTCATGTACTTTTTTAGCTTTTCATCTTCCCAAAGCGGAAGGCTGAAATGCTGGCCGAGTTTAGAATTAGGTGGGCTGTTTTGTGTCTAATTTAGAAAAGCAACTGAAGCTCTTACAAAAATCCTTATTTTTTTTTTTAGATCAGTTCCAACATGGGGCCAATTTAGTCGCCTCTCCAGTTCCTTTTTCGGTAGATTAGATGAGCGGGTCTGTCCGAGTAGTCTGCAGATTGGGGTACGGCGGGCAGGTGCGTGGCTCTCCCACCGTGTGGGCCTTTTGGCTGGCAGAGGTGGCTGGGTAACCCGATGCCGGGGGCAGGAAGCATTCACCCAAATACTGGGGTGCAGCATCAACTGTGGTAGATGCCAGGGGTGGGAACATGTCGGGCAGACATGGGAGAGGAAGCAGGAGTGAGTCCTAATCACCTCACCGAGGTCATCGTTCGGGCGTTATTGACAGGCATTTGCGAACAATGAAACCTGTGATGTGAATGAGCCATGCTTTAGGAAGATGAGTGGGAAATCTCAGGGACAGAATCGGATGGGGCTGGGCACTGGGAAGCTGCTTCTGCATCAGGGTGGGGCAGGACAAGCCCCCGAGCTGGGTGCGGGCTGTGAGGACGAGGCGTTGGAGTCAGATGTCCCCACGCAGGTTCCCGAGGAGGGAACTGAGCCCTCCCCCGGAGAGGGTGGAGTGGAGTGAGTTCCCAGTTTCATGGGAGGTGGACACTCTCTGTTGCGTTCAGCTAAAGTCTCTTTACACATTTATTAACATCATTAAGCACACAGATGTCTGCCCTATGTGGAAAATTGTTTGTGGTCAGAGTTTTACCTACTTCTGTTGAGTCGACCGTGCCCCATGGAAGGTGAGTGGTTAAGAACGAGGCTGTGCAGCCAGCGTGTGGCCGTGACTCCTGCGTCACCCTCCGCTGCGTGGCCTCTATCGAGTTACTTCACTTCTCTGTGCTCCATGCTGCTCATCTGCAAAACGGGTCTGATTACTTCTGTTGCCAGTGGCTCACCTTCTCCAGGCTTCAGTCATCTGTCAAATGGGATGGTTATGGGGACCAAATGACATAATATGTGTAGACTACCTGGTATATGTAAGCATAAAATTAGTAGCAAAAAGACTATATAGATTTGAAATTATTATCTGGTTGTAATAGTAATGCACACTCATTTTAGAAGACAGAAAACCCAGAAAAGCATAAAGGGAAAGAACACACCAGTAAAGCCCCGTAAGCAACCCAGTGGGGCTGAGACAGGGGTGACTCGGCAGTGTGTTTTCACCCTCTTTCTGTGTGTTTCCGTGATCTCAGTTCAATCGTCCTCACTCCCATGCACCCTCCTGGCCTGTTCCTCCCGGTGTCTGCCGATAGTGACAGTGGCCCCTCCGTTACCGAGCTGGAGGCACTGAGCAGGCCGGCAGGGCCGGGAGCCTCCTCCCATTGCCCGTACGTGCAGCGGGAGGGGCATCCTCCCACGGGGTCGTCTCAGGTGTGAGTGAATAAGGACCACGGGGAAGGTGGGGAGCTGCTGGGGCAGGTCTGGGCAGGTCCAAGTCGACTGCCAGAATAGGTAGGCAGAAGCAGGTGGAAAAACAGCAATCTGCTCTATTAAAAACACAAAATTAGAAAACCAGGTAGAGTATAGACAAGCAAAAACTTTTCGACATCCATTATCCACTCGACATTTCTTAAGCACATGTGAAGTGCACTATTTCAGAGCTTCGGATTGGTCCAGGAATGTAGTTATGCTGTGGAAGTGAATCAGTGGATTCGCCCCCCAAATCTCGCTGGTTTTTAGCACATCGATGTTTTACTTCTCATTCACCCAAAGTCTGTTCGTATCTAGCAGCTCTTCTGGGTAATTTTCTTGCAAGTGGCGATTAGGGATCCCAGCAGGGGTCCCCCCACCGGAGCAGGATCACACACGGGCTTCGGCAGGCTCCAGTCCAGAAATGACATACTCCTGCCCACAGCCCGGGGCCGGTCAGTGGCCCGGCTGACTGCACAGGGCTGGATGGAGTGGGGAGCGTGTGGATGTTAAGTGAGCTATCAGAGTCACAGGCTGGCTCACTGAAGATTAACAGAATCAAACATTCCAGGCTGAAGGAGGCCACTGTGGAAGGAAGCCTGCTAACCGAGGCCAGCTTAGGGTCTTGGAGCCTGAGCTTTCAGGAGCAATATGCTTGCTTTGGTTTGGTTTGGGAGAGAATGCTGGGAATCGGTTATAGGGCGGGGGTGCATCCACTCGTTCGTTCATCTGAGCAGTCATTAAACAGACATTTAGAGGGAAACTGTCTAAGTTGCAAGGCCTGTGCTTTGGCTCCAGAGAGGAGGACAGCCCCTGCCCCCAGGGTGCTCACGGCTCAGCAGAGAGGACAAACTTGCAAGCCTGATGACGATCGCAGCACGCCAGGAGGGAAAAGTGTGGGTGGCAGTTGCTGGGGGAGCCATGCGGTGGTTCCGGGAGGGACCCCAAGTAGGTGCGATGCCTGAGTTGAACCTTAATAAGTCGTCATTAACCAGGGGAGGGGGGGCATCCAGTGAGCAGAGAGGCCCAGGGACGGAAGGGGAGGGCTGCCGCTCGTATCTGAGGAGCCTAAGACGCAGCTGGGGTGTCCCACAGGCCTGCTGCCCAAGACCGGGAGGCACCCCCCCTCCAAGGGAGACGCCCGGGGTGCTCAGCAGCTGCTGCAGCCTCGTTTCGTCAGGTGGAATTCAACTATTTTGGATCTAAAAGAAACTTTGCTGAAAAACTATGAGGACAGTTGTATTATAGAAACACACAGAAGCCTCAAGTCAGAAAGCAGCAGTGTGAGAAACGTCAGCATCGATTATCAGCCGTGAAACCAGCCAATCACGTGGACATGACAAAGTCATGGAGAGAAGAATAATGCCCAATTTATGTACATTCCTTGCTATGGTAGGTAAGTTGTCTATTAGTGTTCCCATACAAAAAGAAAAGCTACAAAAAGTCCCTCTGTCACATGCACCAGCTCGGGAAGAAGACTTAGGACATTAATTAACAGGAAGCTCAGTCATCCCTGTCGGCTCAGCCAAGGCAGCCTGGAGGGCCCCACTGACTGCCGTCTGGCGGGACACCTGGACAAGAGAGCCTCGAGCTGGGGAAGGGTCTGAAAGGGCTGAATGAACAGGGTCTTTGGCTTAGAAGAGAGAAAATCGGAGGGCAAGGGCGGGGTTTTCTCTTGGAGACGCCAGGTTAGGTCAGCCCTTCGCTCAGAACTCCTTGGTGACAGAATTGCTTCGAAGACGCAGGTTCCCATCTCTGACGTGGCTTTGTCCAAGGCTAGGCCACTGTTTATTGGGGAGCATGGAGAAGGGGTCATGGCAGCCTTGGAAGGGGACTGGAGCAGACGGCGCCTGACCTTTTGCGACGCCACCGACCTGTCGGATGTGCCCGCGGCACAGCCCACTCCGGCACGTCGCATTCTGAAGGACAGCTAAGTGCGCCATCAGATTACTCTCACAGGGAGAACTCCTGACTCCCCAAGCTGGACGAGGCGCCACGTCCACCTCCGCTGCCTGGTCTGGGTCATCGGGGTTACACCAGACCCTCCGACTCCGGGGTCAGTAGCATCAGAAGACACTGCGGTCACAGCTGTAAGAATCAGCCGCGAAGCCAGGCATAAGGCACAGACCTCCTCAGCAAAGCAGCCTGCGAACGCGTTCAACTCACACGTTCAGCCGGATCGCTGTGCATGCGATGAGCGGGCGGAGTAGCCTGATTCCATCATCAGTTAGTGGCCACTGCCACACGCAGATGCGAGCTTTATGGGTCCCCTGTTTATGCGCACATTTTCCCTGGCACATCTGTTGCTGAACCATTTCAAAATTTAACCTTTGCAGGCAAGACGATTTTTTTAAAACGTTACACAAAGAATCGTATAATGAAGGGTGAAGTTATGTAAGCTGCATTAACTCTCCCATTATTCATATCCCGCACGATATTTTAGGTGCAATTGTGCAATCTGGTCTCCCGTTGTCTTGCAATGAGAATAGACTGTTTATGATCCTCATTAACGAGGTCATTGAGAAGTGTCTTTCCGTTCGTTCAGTTCGAGTGTCGTGGCTGAGAGTGTGGTGTTGGCACTCCCTCGAGCACGACCCGCCAGCGTGGCCGGCCCTCACCCCCTGCACACTGCCGAGCTCAGCAGGCACGCGTGACAGCGAGGCTCTCTCTGCAAGGCACACGCGTTGCCGGGCATGGCGAGTCTGTTCGCAAAGAGAGACGAGGCACACTTTCTCTTCAGAAAACTTGCCGCCTATCGGAGAGACGCCTGGACTAGAGGAGGAGGCAGATGCAGGAACTGTGGCGCCGCGGGCAGCAGCGGGTACCCACCCTCCGCGCTCGACCCTGCCATGCTCCCCACGCCCTGGAGGAATCGGGGGAGGGGGGGTGGAGGTGCGGCTCTTTGACTGAGAGGGAGGGAGAGGTCCCGACGGCAGCCGAGGGGTCGTTAGTCAGCTGGGGACTGTGCACCATTCTTCCAGGCACCCTCCTATAGGAGTGGGGAGCCCTTGGGAGGCTTTATTCAAGGGATGTCTTGACCGGAGTTGTGTGACTGCTGGTGACACAAGGCTGGGCACAGGCCTGACGCGTTTAGAGAGAGGCACATGGCCCTGGGATCACCCGGGAAGTTCAAGAAATGGCAGCCCTTCCCTTCCGAGGTCCACGAACGGGAAGCTGAAGTCCCCTTTCTACATACAGCTGTCACCTGATCACTAGTAGTAGGGACAGCTGTTTGCTGCTAGAGGCACTGGCCCTTCCTTTCTTGAACAAGCCCAGGAGTCGGAGACTCCACAGGCCTCTTTTGTGCGTGTGTCCCTTTGTTCCATTGGAGAAACAAAATTCACTGAATCAAGGTAGAATGGTCCTTTCTGGGGTGGCAGATAGTAAGGTCGTGCTAGTAACAGACACCTGGAAAGGTCTTAGAGGCTTCTGTGAGCAGCAGTAATGGCTGCAGCGTGCAGGGCAGTGAGCCGAGACGCTGGGTCTAGGAGTGCGGTCGCTGGTTACAGATGAGGAAGCCGAGCCCTGTGCTCCGGAGTGGCCAAGGGCCTGGCCCAGAGCCGGAGCTTGCCTGTGAGTCCTCCTCCGCTGCCTCTCAGGCGTCAGGGGAGTCAGCCTGCCTTGTAAGGTGGAGCCCACGATAAGACATGCTGATAAATCACCCGGGGCAGAGGGGGAAGCTTCAGACCTGTGGGTGCAGAAGGAGAGGGGTGGGAGAGGGGGAGGCCTCGGGCTCTGTGGGCCCCTTGGGGACGAGGCCCACATGGCCTTGGGGAAGGATGGATGGGTCCAGCTCCTGGATTGCCCTGCAGCTTATGGCACAAGTCCAGGCTTCCTACCCTTCGTCCTCTACCCAACACCCAAGGCAGGGGACTGGTCAGTCGGTAAATTCGTCTTCTTCGTTATCCCAATGAGACAAACGCAAAGGGCTCCGGCCTCCCGTCAGTCTGCCCCACAGAGGAGAGCCACCGAACCGATGCCCGCAGCAGCGTCCAAACACAGCCTTGGTCCTTGGAGCTCTGAGTTCATTGAGAAAAATCACATCCACAAACACCATTTTTATCGATTAGATGAGGACCAAGATCTTTTCGTGAAATTCAATTTGCCTGAAAAATTCTTATTGAAGTAATTCTATTCTGTTTGAATAATGTTGGGGAGATAAAACCTCTCCATTATGCCTTTTAAAAATGAATTATAATTCAGAAAAATCCCCATAATAGAAAATGACATAAAAGGTACACAGCATAATTCTTATCTTCTTTTCCTTGCTAGTCTCTCATTGGTTGTATATAATCGTCATCTCTTCAAAGAGAAAATGGGGAACTGGAATCAAGTGGCATTCATTTATTTGAGTTTTAAGACCGAACATTGCTTTTTGAAGGATTTTCTTCTAAACCTTAGCATAGTTCCTTTACATGTATGTGCTCATACATGTAAAAAACAAAGAAGTCGAATGAATGAAAGTGTCGATTTTAGTTTTCTGTCATCTCAACCGTGTTTCTATCAGAATGGCAGGCGAACGAGTTTGGCTGCTGTCTCTTGGGGTGGGCCGAGACCCCCTGAGATGAGGTGAGCTTTCTGTGGGTTTCAAACTTCAACGTGCTGTGGGTCGCCCGGGGGTCTTGTTAAATGCAGACTCGGCTCAGGTCTGGTGGTGAGCTGGTGCTGCAGGTCTGCAGACCGCACCGGGTGAGGAGGAGCCAGGGGGGCCCCTCACAGGTGTTGTCAAAACCCGGAGCAAAGACACACCTTGGCGGCCACTGACGAGAGTTCTCCCTGTTTGTCTTTAAAGCTATGACACCGAGGGCAGAGGGCATATCACTTACCAAGAATTTCTGCAGAAGTTGGGGATTAACTATTCGGAGGACGTCCACCGGCCCTACGTGGAGGATCATTTCAACTTCATGGGTCACTTCACTAAGCCACAGCAGGTACAAGAGGAGGTCAGGGAGCTGCAGCAGAGCGCGGAGAAGACTGTGCCAGCCAGGTGAGTTTGTAAGTATTCCGGGACCAGGAGCTGGCCGCCTGTCTGTTCCCCATTCTCTCCTGTAGCAAATGTCGTTTCGAAGTGGCACCTCCCAGTGCTGGCAAAGCGATCATGAAATCGTAACAGTCATTCACTGCTGTAGATTCTAGAAATCAGTGCTAAGTCACAGAGCTATGCAGGAGTAAAGACCTATAAGCCCGCCCCGCCTTACCTGGTCACACTCTGTATCATTCATATTTTGTAGGTCGCCCTTGGGAATGGTCCCTTTTAAGTGTGTACTGTATATCGCCCAGCCCCTCCCTGGCCCAACTCGAGTGCAGTTCGTGAAGACAGGCTGGTCTTTGCCCAGCGCCTGACACCCGATAGGCACCCGGTGAATATTTGTTGAATGAATGAATGAACAGACATATCCTTTAACTCGGGGCTTCTACTTTGGGGACTTTATCCCTAAGAAGTAATACACCCTTTTAAGTGTGTACTGTATATCGCCCAGCCCCTCCCTGGCCCAACTCGAGTGCAGTTCGTGAAGACAGGCTGGTCTTTGCCCAGCGCCTGACACCCGATAGGCACCCGGTGAATATTTGTTGAATGAATGAATGAACAGACATATCCTTTAACTCGGTGCTTCTACTTTGGGGACTTTATCCCTAAGAAGTAATGCAGAAGAGGCCACTGGTTTAGCAACGGGAAGATTCAACTTCCTGTGGGTCCTCAACAAAAGGACCACCTGCCAGTCCCAGTGACCACACTGGATTATAGAGTGTGTCCCCAAAGAATACGCAGAAGCGTATGCCTGTTACAACCGCCGTCGTGAAGACTGTTGAAACGTTTGTGATAAAAGGCTAACTGGAAACGACATTTTAAGCAGTAGTATACTGTGATTGGAACTATGTCACATGTTTTCTGCCTGTCCTCAAGGACCAGAGGTGGTGTGCAAGACGTGACTTGTGTATGGGTGGCGGGACTACGTGTGATTGTTTTCAAAGCTTAAAACTAGTTACCAATGTCATATTTCAAAAATACATGACATAAAGAGAGAATTTTGCCACATTCGATGTGACCATGAAACAATGGGAAACATTCTTGACCGGTCTCAGTCCTCGATGGCCGCCCATCAGCACTGCCCAGGCCTGGGACCCTGCCCCCAGCTCCGCCACCTGTCTGCCACTCCAGCTCTCTGTCCCCACCACCTCCACGAGTGAACAACTCGCTAAAGAATCCCCAAAGGACGGCAGGACCCCAGGGACAGAGGGATGAAATGGGATAGCTAAACGGGGTTTAAGAGAAAAGCAGTTTGAACACACCTCTGAATTATGTCTGTTACCGAGTTAGAAAGAGAACCGAGTTGGTGAATTTCAAAGTAAAAACATGCATAAGATTGGTATAAATCAAACATGCCAAAAAACTAATGAAAAAATGGAATTTGTCTTTATCAGACAGGGCTGGCCTCATTACCCACTCGCGCCTCCCCGTCCCTTCCCCCCGCCACTTGAGAGTAACGAGGCTCTGAGAGGAGGCTGGCGTCCTGGCAGCGTATGGCACGTTCCTTCTTTCCGTGCTTCCCCTTAGTGCGTGAGCGCGGGCCTGCAGCCCACAGGACCCCGCGCCACCAGCTGATGCGTTCCCCATCCCCACGCTCACTCCGTCCTCCTCGCCCTCTCTGCGTGACCGACAAGCCCGACCTCATCGAAATGCGTGACCGGCTTCCATTTTCTCAAAGACGTCAGCCTGTAAAACTGCCAAGTAACTCTGTCCTTCAGGGTGGCCCACTTTTAAATTCCCGTGTCAGTGGCTCTTCCAGATAATCTGTGAGCTTCGATGTTGCCAGGATTTTCTACCTCCTCATTTTTACTGAAACTGATAAGATTGGTAGATGGGAGTCGTGTTCAATTAAATTGACCCAAACGCCTCTTAAACCTAAGGGACTTCTTTTTGTTTGGAGTGTCCTAAATGTAGTTTTCAAATTAAGAAAAATTTTCTTGTATGCATCTTTTCCCCGCCTTCCTCTTTTTTGCCCTGAGACGGAGATGCGGGATCAGTGCGCCCGGCCGTAGGGTCTGGCCACCTGAGTGCGCCCGGGGCCGAAATGCAAATTAAGAGGTAAAGGAGGGAAAGCAGCAGTTCAGAGTGCCCGCAGGCCCAGCCGTGTGTGGGGGGCACTCTGTGGCCGTCCCACTGGCCATGACGGTCCCAACCAGGAGCCGGCCAGGGACCCAGAGCAGCAGCAGCTCGTCCCTGAGTGTCAGCCACCACCGGTTCCATTTGGCAGTGGGCACTATCTATGCCGTCAACCCTTGTTGACTCCGTGCGTGTATTTACTCCACAAGGACAATAATTACTGTCTGGAAACCAGTCCAAGAAATGCTGAATTCCTCAGTATTCGAAAAACATGGATCTCAAAAAATGTTTTGATTTTTTATACGTTCATTTGCTTTCATTTTGAAGGACTAAGTGGAATATAATAGCTGTGATGATGATGAGTAATCATTTTGTGACACGGGACCGAATTCAGTTTACACCTGTAAGGGAATCCGAAATGTGGCTGCCGTTGGTATACAGTCACAGACAGCGAGCGCCACTCAGAGCATCAGATGTCAGCCAGCTCCCGCTGGAGGCCAGCAGTGGGGCCAGGGGGTGGGGGAAGCAGATGACCCTCAGCTCCAAAGTCAATGCTTCCCCTCCCCATCTCCCCGAATATTCTGGACTTCTGACTTTTCTGTTCTTGTGGGTGATTTTTCCAGGTATGCTCAAGGAACTGTCCTCTCCACGAATAGGTATTTGAGGTAGTAGACAATTACCAGCGAAGAGTTCATGTTCACAGTTTCTAGCATATGCTTTTCCCTGAGTAAGAGCCCCACAGTCTGAGCCCGTCAGACAAGCACATTGCTCAGCGTGCTAGCAAGAGCTTCTGTAGAGACGGGGTCAGTCGAGGTTGTGGAATTTATCATTAACCCACCGTAAGTCAAGTGCAAGATTGTTCATGCTTAAAGATGTCCACACTTCTTTAGTACCTTAATAGTAAGTTGTTTTGTCAAGTTCATAGAAACCTGAACACATTCTACAAGAAAATGGGAGCTAGAGCCGGCCCCTGCCCCTGCCTCTGCTGGGCAAACCTGGCGGGCCCCCGCTGCACCTCGGGCCGTCTACACCGGGGATGACCACTGCCCGCCTCCCTCTGAGGGTTTGTCGAGAAGAATAAATGGCAGAGTGCGTGCGAACAAGCTTCTGGTTTGCCAGTTGATGCTCACAAATGGTGCCTGATGAAAGAGGCCCCCTGACCCTACCCCGCCAATGCCAACAGGACCGCACCCCTCCACCCTCCTGCACCCCTGCCTCAGGGGCTGGCCCTGGGCCCCCAGGAGAGGTCTTCTGATGCAACACCCCACTGACCCCGTCACCTCCTAGTCTTGCTCAGGTGCTCAGATGTCACCTTGGCAACACTTCCCTGCACCTCCCTGCTGGAATTGCAGCCTACACCCACAGTGGGCCACCCCCGGTCCCACCACTCACCGGTTCCCTACTAATTCACTAACCACCCCCCCTCCCTGCACTGATGCCTTCTGTTGACCGTCGGCCCTGCCCCCTGGAGTGGAACTCCCTCTGATGGGGCCGGTTTGACTCACTCGATGTCCCCAGAGCCGGGAGCAGTTTCTGGCCCGTGATAGGTGCTCGACGAGTCTTCATGGAGAGAACGGATGGGTATTTCTCGCTTGTCTATAATATCACTGCATTTTTTCATTCTTGATCCCATTCTTAAATTACCAAAACTACCAGAAAGACAAGGTGGTAATTTCTCATGTCGTTTTGTTAATAATAAAATGCTAATGATACAGACTTATAATTTTTTTCCAGAATACCTTTTCACGTCAGTGCTATCCCAAGACTGCAAGACATCTTCAAAATCAGTTCTTCGATGAGCCATCGAATCATCGCATTAGAGTGATCACAAAACTCTTGCCTTAAAGAAGTTGTTTTCCTGATTTCAACATGTGTCTAAAACGCGTTCTCTTTCAGGGATAAGCTTATGGACCATTATCAAGATATCAGCAAAGCACTGTCCAGACTAGACAGATCCAGAGGCGGCTCCATATCCATGTGCAGGATGCAGAAGGTGCTGCAGGACTGTGGCTGTTCACTCAAGGAGGAGGAGCTGACCCAGCTTCTGCACAGGTTCGCTTTGGCTGGGCCGACCGTTGCTCGCTGTCACTTATACTTCCCTGTCCACTCAGCTGGGTGCCGTCGAGATAACCGCCACATCTTCCCGCGGCCAGGCTACCTTCTGATGGGTTTGAGTTGACACAAGGCAAAAAGAGAAAGCAACTCGGCGAACGCACAACTTCTCCCTCAGCAGCGTAATCATCACTTTGAACCAGTTTTTATTTTATCCAAGTCGTTCATGCACTTGGGCAGGAGTCAGACAGCTCAGCGAGGCTTATGAAAAACAGTAGGGCCTTTGCCCTGTCGTGCTCCGCGTCCCCCTCCCCAAGCGTCAGCAGCTCCCAGCGCTTTAACGGCTATCTTTTGGCGTCACTGTGCATTTCTAAGTGACAAATTCCATAGCTACCTGTTGAGTTTTTACCATTGGGCCGTGTCTGCTGACTTCCCACCAGGAGGGCGAGGATCAGACTCTCCCGCATCGCGTGCCACCGACCGCCTCACCCCTCAACCCCACCCCTCCACTGCCCCCTGGAAACTCACGCAAACACAAACGTATCTGCACAGCCTCCCGTGTCGCTGCGTCTCGGTCGGGGGTCCGTCGGCGTTCAGGCTTCATGTTATCGTGACTAGCGGGTCACTTTTCCTTTCCTATAGTATTTCGTTTTCCCTGCGGTTAATATTTATTTTATTTTTTCTGTTTGCTTAGTTTCCATGTAATTATTATCACTAATTAAACCCCCAGCTCGCCCCCACTGGTAAATCTCTTTATTTTAGTGGTTGCTCTAGAGTTGGCAACATAACGCTAACAACTCTCCGAAGTCCCGTTTCAGACAGCACGATGCCACTTCGTGGGTAGCGTGCGTGCCTCACACCAGAGATTCCCAACCCTTTCTCCTGTCCCCTACCTATAGCGCTGCTGTCATTCACTTTGCTGATTCACATGCTGTAATCGCCCAACACGTGGTTGTTGTTGCTTTGAACACTAATCTCTGAGATCGGACACGAGTCAGAAAAATGAAAGATGTTATTTTACCTTCATTTATTCTTTCTCCAGTGCTCTTCCTTTCTTTATGTGGATCCAGATTTCTGACTAAATGGCTTTCCTTCTCTCCGAAGAGTATCTTTCAGCATTTCTCGAAGGGCAGGGCAGCCGGTAATGATTCCGCAGTTCCTGTTCGTCTGAGATAGTCTTTACTCCTCCTTCACTTACACGGATAATTTCACAGGCTATAGAATTCTAGGTCGCTGACTTTTTTCTTTTGACACTTTAAATATTTTGGTCCACTCATTTCTTGCTCGCATGATTTCTCATGAGAAGCACCATGTAATTCCTGTCTTTGTACCTCTGTAGTAAGTTTCCCCCTGCCCCTGGCTACTTTCGAGATTTTCTCTTTGTCTTCAGTTTTCCACAGTTTGGCTATGATATGCCCAGATGTTGATTTTTGGGTATTTATCCTGCTTGGTATTTTCTGAGCTTCCTAGATCTGTGCTTTGTGGTTGTCATTAATTTGGGAAAATCCTCAGCCATTATTACTCCAAATGTATTTTCTGGTCCTTTCTCTCTCTCTCTCTCCTTTTTTTTTCTCCTCCTGGTATTCCAATTATTCAGATATTATACTCTTTGAAATTGTCCCACCGTTTTTGAATATTCTGTTATTTTTTTCCTATTCATTTTTCTCTTTGCATTTTAGTTCGGGAAGTTTTTCTTGACATACTTCAAGCTCAGTGATTTTTTTTCGTCAGCCATGTTCAGTCTGCCGATGAGTCCATCAAAGACATGTTTCAAGATCGTTACACTGCTTTTTATTTCCCACATCTCCTTCTGATACTTCCTTAGAGTCCCTCTCTCTCCGCTTACATTATCCCTTTGTCCTTGGGACTTGTCTGTGTTTTCCATTAGAGTCCTTTATGTACTAATCAGAGTTAATTCAAATTCACTGTCCAGTAATTCCAAAATATGTGTCATATCTGAGTCCGGTTCTCGTGAATTTAGTGTGAGGTTTCATGTTAATTTGGGGACGAGTCGGGCTGTGTTGAATGTTGTAGCCGTCAGGTTCTTCCAGCACCCTTGCTTTTGTCCTTTCTGTTTTGGGGGGCTTCCCTGGGAACTCCTTCTTAAATAGAGTCAACGTTTCGCAGCTCTTTCCACTGTAACCCACTGTTATTATTAAGTTGCTTTATATTTATCATATGATTTTATTGGATAGATTGTTTGTTTCCTGGAGTTTTCAATGTCCTTTCTGTTTTTCCTCGTATCATTTGCCTTTCTTTTGCCTTATCAAATAAAGACAAATCCAGACTTAGTAAAGAGATTTTTTTGAAAAGGCTATTGCAGTAGGGAGGGGCGGGCTGTTGTTTAGGGGAAGGAGAATCGTTGCAATAGGGAGGATGCTCTGACCGTGAAATCTGCAAGCAGGAAAGAATAAGCAAAGCTAGAAAGAACTGAGTATGGAGGAATGTGATGATTGCACAGCACAATCAGACAGTTGAGGCAGGAACTGTCTTTCCTTGTGGTCAGGGTCTCAGGAAGGGGCACTAAAGAGGGGCTGCTCCACATTCCGATGCTGGCTCAGGCTGAGGGTGGGTCACATCAGGGGTCAGAGAGAGGGAGAGAAGCTTAATTAAAGCTTGGTCAGGAGGGCAAGGTTTTTTTGTCCAGATTGGTCCCATCTATGAGAATGGGAACTTGGAGGTCTGTGTCCACTTTGTCACAGGCAAACCTAACTGCACCCATGTGCCTTTTCTAAGTCATGTAGATAAAGAATGGCTCTTTGCCATAAGCCCTTCTCAGGGACATCAAAGGAAGGCAATTTCTTTAACCGTCATTGGTTTCTAGAAGTGCGGGACTCAGGTAAAGTTCAACTTGTCAGCCTTCAGCTTTCCCCAGCTTTCTCCCCTACTTACTATTCTCCTGGGCTTTTCTCCTGGTGCCCTCCATCCTAGAGCCTGGCCCCGTTCTCCTGTCCTGTGTCTGCTGCCCAAGAGTATCCTGGGCTGCCCTGTCGTTCTGGACTGCCTCCCATTCCGACCTTCCATGTCTTTTTACTTCTTAACGTACATCCTTAGTTTGCTGGAGTACTTCCTGAAGTAATCGCCCAAGAAAGGGTACAAGGAAAGGAAATTTTCTGAGTTCTTGTTTGTCTGAAAATTTTTTTATTCTCCTTCACACAGATGGCTAGCTTGTCTGAGCATAGAATCCTAGGGAGAAAATTATTTTCCCTCAAAATTTCATTGCTTCACTGTGCTCAAGCTGTGAGAAGTCCAATGCTAGTGTGTGTGTGTATGTGTGTGTGTGTGTGTGTGTGTGTGTAAAAGGACCATTTCATCTTCAGATGCCTCTTCTTCTTTAAACAGGTCTTCTCTCGCTAAATCTATTTCCAGCTGAATAAGAATTCATGTGCATTCAATGAATAAATCACGGAAAAATAGCCCCAGATAAATAATTAACTAAACGCTTATAAGAGTGTCTTTTAAAACATAGTTAGGCTTGATACTTTTATAAACGACAAAAGGACTGTGGCATTTTTGTAGTCCACCTTTCAATGCGGGTGATCAACTTTTCTACGAACCGAAACCTTAATAAGGCCCCATGGCTCAGTTGCTTGTTTCTTCTCAAAGACCTCTTGATGATAAACATCTCTGTTATTTGTAATTATATGTAGATTATTCTTTTCTAGATCCAAAATAGACTTTTCTAAAAAAAAAAAAAATTCTGAGATTAGCATATGCATTTGATTTTATTACTAAATTTTAATACCGAGTTGGCAGTTTATCCTGCTGATGAAATAGAGCTGATTGCCCTTCCCTCGCCATCTCCCTCACGCGAGCCAGTGCGTGGGGCCCGGGGAGGCCGCTCTGCAGCTGCGGGTTGGAGAAGCACAGCTCTTGGCTCGTTTTCCTTAGAAGCAGATATCTGAGCCACTGGAAACTTCTCTCTCTGGCTTACCAACGTTCCAGGCTCTTCTTTGACGCCCACTTCATCCTGATGAACGTTTAGGCGTTAAAGGACCAGGAGCATCCAGGGAAATAAGTTACAGAGATGTGAACGGGGAGTGCAGTTCAACCTTATTTTGAGTTATTTTACATCTTTAATAAAATGGTCTCGTTGTCATGAAACGTATATGTTCTCTCACAATATACTCTGAGGACTGGAAGGTGCTTTCTTCTGCTGTTGGCATCTAGGACGGGAACTGCCGTTTCTGCGGGGATGTTCTCGTTGACATACTTAGTCAGGTGGAATTTTTGAGAAAATCCTAAGCTACATGGGTTTTGTAAAGATATCTTTTGAGTGCTTCCAGCTGACAACTTAGTTTCAACCGTCCCTGAAAAAGAATTCTCGTATGTTTTTACTCGGGTCCCCTTTTCCGTTGACATAGGTCCCTGCCTTTGACTTAGTTCTCTCGCTCTCCCATCCCCCTGCCGCCCCTCAGGGCGGGCTCTCGGAGCTCAGGCCTCCAGGCCCGCAGCCTCCAGGATCCAGGCCCGCAGCCTCCAGGCTGCCTCCGACACAGCCAGCCATCAGATAACGCTGCTTCGCTGCTGTCAGGTCCCTGCCCACGCACTTTCATTCGCCTCTGTCACAGGCCATGTTCCTTCGCCGGCCTCCTTGTCCCATCTTCCGCTCGCCCAGGCTGTGAGTCCTGTTGTCCAGCCTTCAAGCCTCAGAGCTTCAGGGCAGGACAGTCGGTGGCCTCACCAGCCGGCAGTGGCCCTGCGGTCTCCCCTCCCCTAGCCCTGACCTCGTTCCCTTACGTGGCCGTTTTTGTGCGCGCCTGTCTGCTGTGATTCGTATGCATCACCCGCAGGCCAGGAACAGTGTCTGCACGTTATCCATGTTCTCCACGCCGTTCTGTGCTCCGCAAGTGTTGGTTGAATGAATCAGTGAGAGGGTTTTTTATTAATATATTCATTTCTTTCTTTCTTTTGGGACAAGTTGGGGGATCAGCTTGCAAAATAACTCCATCAATTACCTGGACTTCTTGAGAGCAATGGAGAACAGCAAGCTGTCAACTCAGCCAAAAGAAGAAGAAGAGGCCGTGCCAATCGATTTTGCGACACTAAACCCAGAGGAGGTTCTGAAGAACGTTCAGAAAGTCGTCGCTTCCTGCGGCCCGGCCCTGTCAACGGTATGACAGCCAACAGAGTGCCTTTGCTGTGAGCACTGAGTTCTGGGACCGAGTCAGTCCACAGACAGTGGCTCCCAGCACCCCCGCCCCAGGGCCCCGTCCGCCCGTCTCCACTCTCCTTGGGGTGTCGGAACTCAGACGAGTTGGTCAAAATCACATCGTTCGTTTGAGCAAATGTTTATCCATTTTTGATCTATAAAAAGCTACCGCGATTGCACCCCAGCACGTGCTGTCTGAGTGCTCAGTGTTTAGCAGACGCTGGGCCTGGGTGGGGGCAAGGGGTACCAGGCAAAGCAGGCAGAGAACAGAGGCCCTCAATGACAATGGGCTCGGCACATCCCGTGAATTTGCTGGGCCCACGGAGATGAGTGACTCCAGATGGCCTTGAAGAGCTTGGCCAGGGCCGGGCTGTGGCACTAAGACTCACTGCCAGGAGCCAGGGGAGGGTGTAAGAAGGGAGACCCGAGTACCCTAACATTTTAGACTGACCTCTGTATGACAGCATGGAGTGTGCCAGGACTGGGCATAGGCGGGGATGATGCGGTGTACAGTGCCACTGTCCTTGCGAAATAGTGCTTTGGCCATGCTCCTGGCGAGGGTGTGGTCTTCTAGCCAGGCCCCCATGTGAGTCTCCCCTGCGGCCACAGGGAGAAGAGCTAACACTGTGCAGACGCAGGTCCTGCGGTCCAGTGAGACGGGGGCACAAAGCATCCATGTGATGCTGGTGCGCGTTGCCCGACAGGGCTGTGTCCGACAGGTGCTGGCGAGGCTGTCCCCACGTCTGCCTGCGCAGACTTCCAGGCCCACTCAGAAACCCGGGACACGTCCACGAACCCCCCGGGGCAGAGAACGCGCTCAGTGTGGGGAGGCAAGGCTCTGGATTCATGGGGAGAGGAGGAGAAAGCGGGGGGCAGCCCCGCCCGCCCGCGAACGGTCTGGAACGCCAGCACACTTGGCCTTTACCTTGGAGAGCAGAAACGTTTCGCAGCTAGGAATTCTCTGGGACGGTCCTGGCCCCCAGGGGTCTGCAAACTCAGATGTGCACAGGGACCAGGAATAACATAAAGGAGGAAGGGGCCATGCGGGGCCAAGCCAGAGACACAGCCCGTGGGAGGGCAGCTTCTCCCTGGCCCCGGCCCCAGCCCACCATCGCTGAGCCGAAAATGCCCAGTGCTGCTGAATCCTTCCGTTTTTCATGAGAAGCTCTGAGGCCGCCTGAGTTCTAAACGTCAGCAATAATTGTTCAGAAGTGCTGTGCAGGCCAAATAAACCCATTCGCAAGGTGGCTTTGCCCCCTGCTGACTTAAAGTGGCACCATTGAACACCTAGGGGGATGTTTCTCAAACTGAGGCCCGTGGAACCTTTGGGAGGAACCGTGGCGCTCGCTTCTGAGAAGCAGCCCTTGGCCGACGAGGTTTTAAGCACAAGAGTGAGGTTCTCTGGCCAGGAGGGCTGGAGGGCGAGAGGGCACGCGAGGCAGTGAGCCATCAGGGTGCATGCTGGACACGCGACCGCGCCTCTGCCCAGCACTGGGGACGTGCCTCAGACGCGTCTCGTCCACCTGGTACTTAGGTGGACTTTTCTAGGTTTGGTTCTGCCACCCACCCTGTGGGTGGCAGGCTGGGCTGACACGGGAAGCCGCGCAGACCGGGGTGCGGGTCCCTCTTAGGCCTGCCGGGCGCCTCCTGATGCTCACCTCGCACCAGTGCCTGACCACCGCGGAGCGCTCGGCATTTCCCCGCCGGCCGGCCGTTTTCGTGGTCTTTCTCCTGCACATCTGCTGAGACCCACTATGTGCCAGGTGCCTGGCACAACACAGGTGCGTTTTCCAGTTGCCGCAGTAAAACTTAGAACAACATACATGAGTTATAAAGTCCCTATTTTTTATATCGAAGAAGCTAAGCTCAGAGAGGTTACGGGCTTATGGGGGCAACAGAGCCGAGGTTCGAGTCCACTTCCGGACCGTGTGGCCAGCGGTGTCTCCGCTCGCACAGCTGCCTGGTATAGCCACGAGCGAAAGATGAATTCGAAGCTATGGAGTATTTTAAGGTTAATTTGATTACACATAATCGCCACCCGTGGGCTGATGGTGTGTGCCTAATTAGCTCTGAAAGGGATTAACTGCAAGGGAATTTGGTTTTGGGTCTGCAAGCACATTAAATTCTTACTAAAAAAAAAAAAAAGAGATCTTAACCTACCACTTGATCCAGATTTCCTAGTGCAATAAAAATGAATGGTTTTGTTTCGACAGATGGAAAAAAAATGTGCTTCCTTTTTATAGCGCATTTTTGCACTTTTTCAGTTTGGCTGCTGTGCCGCTGGGTTGGCACCGTCCGCCCAGCCCCTCTGGCACAGGCACGGGGCGCCGGGCGACCTCCCGTGACACGAGGGCACACGGGCGCTGGCCGAGGGTGAGGTGACGACGCAGCCTCGGCACACAGGCCTCCGGGGCACGTAGCGGAGTGGTCCGTTGACAACTCCTGGCCACTTCCAACATCACCTGGACACCCCCGCCCCCGCCCCGAGAGAGCGGGATCGCACCTGAGGCTCCTGATACGGGGATCTGTGCTCCAAGGAGCTAGAATTTAGTGACCGAGAGACCCTGGGCGAGTTAGCGGGGCCAGGGCTCCTCTTCACTCCTCAAACTCTACCTGAGTAGGAGCGAGTAACGTGAGCGTCCCCGCGACACGCCGCCTCCCCCACCACGCGCCGTCCTTCCGGTCTGGCTCTTTCAATCACGGCGCATTTGTTCAGTAATTGAGAACTTACAGGAGACTTGCATACGCTTGATTTCATCCACATTTAGCAGACGCAATACTTCAGAAAAACAGTTTTGAAATATTCACTTGACAGTAGCATCTGCTTTTTTTTTTTTTTTTAGGCGTTTTCTGCATTGGATAAAGAGGACACTGGTTTTGTAAAGTCTTCGGATTTTGGACAAGTTCTTAAGGATTTCTGTTACAAGCTAGCAGATAACCAGTATCACTATTTTTTGAGAAAATTGAGAATTCATCTAAATCCCTATATAAATTGGAAATATTTTCTCCAGAACTTCAACTGTTTCCTCGAAGAGGTAAGGATGTCTGTAGCATATAAGCATCTCTTTTTGGAAAAGGGCTAAAATTAGTTTTTGCAGAATGGATAATTTATTAAAACCACGTCCGATAAATTGGCAATCACCTCATATAATTTGCTCATTCTAAATGAAAAATTGGTACAAATTCTACATAGAGTATGAGAAGGGAAATATGTACCTGTTAGCTCATTTGAAAGTTATTTTGTTTTCAGAGGAGTCTGGGTGCTTGCTGTTGTCTGGTTGGTTCTGCGTGCTCAGGAATCTTAGATCCCTGAAGACGATCTGGTGTCCCAAGAAGAGGGGCCCATTTTGCGTCAGGCCGGAGCCGGCAGCAGCGAAGGAACAGGGATCTACTCGGGAGGCATTTGTTGAGAACCTACTATGTGCCGGGCCCTGAGCCATGTATCAGTCAAGCGTTGGGTAGAGGTAGATGTCTCAGCAGGTCCTGGGGGAAGTCAGGGAGGGCTTCCTGGAGGAGGGAGAGTGGCTCACCCCTGGGCTCATGTTCCTTCCCAGGTCTGCTTCTCTGACTACACAAGCTGCTCATTCTCAGGTTGTTTCTTGATCTCTAAACATAACTGGGCCAACATTAGCAGCAATTACAATCTAGTGTCAACCAACACGGGTTTCTTGGATCGCCATTCCATGCCGAGAATGGACACGCAGATGCCATGGCCCCTGCCCTCACGGAAGGACAGACGAAAATACCCATGTGAAAGATCCACAAGAGTCAGTTTGCCTTTCCCCTGTGGCCGGATGCTCAGGCCATCTCCGACTGCACACTCGTGTGTAACGAACACCTAAGTGCTCGAATCCTCCCACACTTATCTAGGACAGGCTCTCGGAAGCGAGCGTCCTGGAGCGGAGAGCAGGCGGGTGTTTTAGGGCCGAGGTTCATTATAACAATGACGACCACCGCAGCCACTGCAGGGCGCTTTCCGAGGGCAGGCACCTTCTTCGCTGTCCTTCGTCCTCTGTAGAACCACAGGGCACCTGCTAGTCATGTCCGTCAGATAGGTGAGACGGCCAGCAGTGTGCCCAAGAAGTCCAGGCCCCAAGTCCATCCGGCCCCCGGAGCTCCGCCCAGTGTCCCCTGGGGGACCACGGTCCTCTCGCCTGTGCCGTTGAGATGGAGATTCCTAAGCAACGTGGACTATCGTGTCGCGTGTCTTAGAGCTTTGTATATGACATTATATTGCATTTCATCTTCTGCGCTCATTTTTTTCTGGCGTAATGGCATGGGTTTAAGATTTATCCGTGTTACTACATAGGCTTTAGTTCATTCACTTAAGCCGCTATAAAATCAGTCTGTCACATGAATACTGTACTGAGCGAACATAGCGCTGCTCAGCCGCTGTCCTGCCGTATTGAGCGTGTGAGTTGGTTGCGGCTTCCTCCGTTAGAGGCAGAGTGCCAGCCAACCTCTGTGGCTGTCTCCTTGTGTGCACAGAAGTGCTGGGGCGGGCAGGTGTGTGCCCTGCTTCCCTGAGGCCAGCACAGCGGATGCAGCGGTCAGTGTGCATGCCCCTGGCCTCATGTGAGAGTCCCTGACGCCCCACGCCCCGCTAATCCTTGGTATGGTCAGGTCCGTTAATCTGCCCACCTGAGGGTCGGTGAGGCCAGGTGATCAGCCATCCAGGCTTCTTGTCTGCGAGTGACCGGGAAGGGTCCCATCCCTCTGTTGATGCGTGAGCTGCGAATACCTTCTCCTAGACTGTGACTCATCCTGTCTCCCTGTTCATGGTGACACTTGCTATTTTTCATGAGAATTATACTTCATTCTGATTTTTAAAGAATGCACAGTCACTGGGGAAATTTTGCAAAGCACAGGAAAGGATGGAAGAGGAAGCAGTGGGGTACACCCCACGATGGCAGTGTGACGAGGACAGCCCCCACTGCCGTTTGGCGAGGCCGCCTGAGCTCCGGCCCTCCCCATGCATCTCCTCACCTGGTTGTTGTCTGCACTGTGTGAAGGGACAGTGTCCACTTCTCAGGAGAGGCACACAGGCCCCGGAAGCCAGGTGCCTGCCTGGCCACCTCGGCCGGCAGCGAACCCCTGACAGGATCAACTTCGGAGCCGAATGAAGCTCTGTCCATGTGCCTCGGAGAGCTTTTGCTTCTATTTTCAATGCGTTTTTCCCCAAATCTTCTTATTGTAGTAAAATACACATACAGTCTCACCATCTTACCCTCCTCCGCACGCACAGTTCCGTGGCGTGAAGACCACCCACGTCGCCGTGCAAACAGCGCGTCCATCCATCTCCACAGCCCCCGTTCTGCGAAGCCGAAACTCTACCCATCGAGCACTGCTGCCCCGCTCCCCTCCCCGCCTCTGGGGACCGCGGTCGCACTCAGCTCTGTGAGCGACCCCTCCAGCAGCCTCGCGGAGGCGCAACCCTGCAGCGCTCACGCCTCTGCGACTGGCTCCTTTCCCTGAGCGTAGCGTCGTCCTGTTTCGGCCACGTGGTAGCATGCGCCAGATTTTCTTTTTAAGGCCGACAATAATCCCCTGTGTGACTAGACCATGTGTTGCTTATCTGTCCATCCACTGGGGCTGAGGATCGTCATGACCCAGCTTACATTGTAGAAAAGCCGCAATGGCTGCCGGATGGAGAGGGGACTGTGGAGGCCAAGGGCCCGAGCGGGGAGGCAGGCCACACACCTGAGGAGGACACTGCCGATGTCGCCCAATTCTACACACCTTCGTGGAGCAGTCAGGCCTTGCTGGTGGCCCGCGTGTGCCACGAGAGAGAACGAGCCGGGAATGTCCCCGGCTTTTCAGCTCTGAGTGGGGGGAGAGCGGGCAGAGAGGCCCTGCTGGGCCGGGTGGCTGACGTGGTGTGGCTGACCGCCGTCCCGGCTGCAGGCGGCGTCCAGTCTCCTGCGTTCTCATGACCATAGTGCGCTGTCACTGAGCACCTGTGGGAATGTGCCCGGACCCTTTCACGTGTCTGACCGCCGTGGGCCCTCACAGCAGCTCTGTCCAGAGCTCACGAGGCAGGCCTCAAGCCTCCGTGTGGCCGCCAGCGTCCTCGCTCACGGACCACACGACCGCGGGGCGAGTGTTCCCAGCGCCGGCGCTGCCCGATGTCCTTTGCGGAGTCCCCTTTGCCTCTGGAAGTGCTTGCGCATTGTTGCGAGGAGCTTTTAGGGCCGATTGCAGTGTGAGTGACGTGGAAATGTGCTCAGGGCCTGGAGCCAGCGTGCCGGTCTAGGTGGGGCTGTGGCTGGGGACCAGGGGTGCGGAGATGCCACCGCCAGGCCTACCGCACGCCGCCTCCTGCTTTTCCCGGCCCGTGTGCAGTCGGTGGCGGAATTGCGGGTTATCAGCCCCGGGGTCGGCCTGGGGCGTGGGGAGACCTTGCTCAGAAGCCGCTGCTCCAACCAAGGTGCATTTACCAGGAGGACGAGTTGGGGCAAAGGGAGGCCATGAAGGTGCCCGGTGTGAGGCTCAGCGCGGGGCGACCGCATCAGGCAGTTCAGGAATGTGGGGTACCCGTTGTCCTGTTTATTTGCTGATGGGGGGTGGAGCGGTGACTAGGGCAGAGCACTGGCACCCTGCATCCCTTGCTTCAGAGCTCAGGTCCCTTTCTCTGAGCAAAAGGAGACTCATCGAGACTCGTGAGCAGGGACACGAGTCGCCCTCCTCCAGGGCGGCTGGGACAGTTAGGATGCTGTCATCCCGACCAAGCTGGTGTCCTTCACAGAGGGAAAATGAGTAAGAAATAACAGGCACAGTAAATGCGTCGTCCTCAGGCTCATTAGAAACGACACCCACTAGTCTTCCGTTCCCCCAGGGATGCACGGGCGGGCGGCAGGTGAGCAGGAGATCACAACGTAATTAAGATGGTCGGCATCTCTCCTGGTGGCGTGGTCCCCGGAGAAGTCCCTGGCTGAGCTGAGTCCGCTCTGGAAGGGGAGGCACAGCGGTGGGCTCGTGCGCGCTCGCGCTTGGTAAGGCCTCGGGTGGGCCGAAGCTCACGGGAGCAAAGCCGACGACCTCCCTCCCACTCATGGTCCGCCTCCCACGGCCGCCGAACCTGTCTTCGGCAACTTCGGCCAGTCTCATGCCTCGCGTGCCCGTCACAGGGTGGCTGCCACGTTATTTCCAGATCCCGCCGCGTGGCTCGCCACGGTGTCTCGTCCCCTTCTCGCTCCTCTGCCTCTTCAAGCACCCCTGACGTCAACAGTGTTTCTCGAAGTGCAGGTCGGGGGCCTCCGGGCACCACGTCACGCTCTGGATGTCACTCTCGGGTTCGACAACCAGGCGGGTCCCCCCAGAGGCCTGTGAGCCAGTGGAGAAGGAGGGCGACTTCGGTCCTTTCAGATGGGAGCAGGGAATTCGCATCGCGGGCCCCGAGCCACGCACCCAGATTCAGGCTGAGAACCACTAACCTGTGTGGCACACAAGAAGGGGAGCCCGGGACTAAACCTGCACTGCTACCCAGTGGCTCAGTTAAAAAGTAAAAAAAAAAAAGGGGCGGGGACAGTGCCGGCCGACAGCATCGGCACGTTTTTCATGAGACTCCCATAAACCGGGCGAAAACAGTATCTGAATTCCTGTCCTCAGCCCGTACCTCTTGTTCACTTCTGAGAAAAACATTTTACATTCGAGCGCTACGTGCGAAATATAGAGTATCACCTTGTTTTTAGGAGATCATTCCTGTTTAACATTTCTTCTAAGTCTTAAAGTACAATTTCACTATCTTCTGTGAATATAAAAATAGCGCTCAGAGCAGAAATAGAATTTTTAAAAGACATAGTAGAAACCCATATAAAATCTCTCTGCTTTATTACCATGGAAATAATGGAATTTTTTTTTTTAGCAAAACATCCTTATTCGATGCAGAGCAATTGTTTTGTCACATTCTAGCCAGCAGAGAGCCAATGAGATCGTCCCTTGCTTTGTGCTTATGACATATGGTCTTTAAAGTCATTTGTGAGATGTTAAATACCTTGAATATGGTTTTTTTCCAAGACAGAATGTAAGATTGTGG